CTGGCTTCCACAGGGGTACCATGGTGCATTTGAGGCTCCGTGGCACGAAAAGGCTAGTGATCGGGACAGATGACCGGGCAAGTCGCAAGTTTTGGCATAAGTACTTCTTTGTCAAAATCGAACATGTCATTTCTGACTCTGCTAGGTTCCCGAAGCGATGGAATGAGACCCGTGAGTGTCATCACTCGTTTTACTCTTCCTTCATCTATATTCGTTATAAAGTTCATTCGCTTCCCGTTTGCAGCTATGAGACATCCACCTCGCCCGATTGCGGATATCAGGGATTGGGTAGCCCGTTTGTTGCCTCATGCAGCAGAAACCCAAGATTGGCCCGCCTTAGTGAAACGTTACGGCCCTAAAGTCCCCTCTGGTATATATTTTCCTTACCACTTTGTTGGCTGGGGAGATATCCCCAAGTGAAAGGAGTTTACCCAGGAATCGGCTCAGTCGTTCTGCCGAGGGTGGTGCATCGTCCAACGTCGGAGGCCGTCGTGTTGAGGGTGACGGCTCAGGTTCAGATGTCAACCCAGAGGATGTCAATGAGTTCGTAGGCCGCCATACTCATGTGGAGGTCAGAACGGAAGGGTCTGATCGTCACAAAGTCGTCCTGGGGGACTATAACTTGTTGTTGAACTGCGAGCAAGTGGCATCCGCTCTAGCTCCTCTATGTACTGCCCCTGAAAATGAGGTGCTTCGGGCGATGAGCGACGTGGAGTTGTCTCAGAAGGTCACCGATATGGCCTTGCGGGTAGGTGACTTTCCTTCCCTTTTCGTCGTTGGGTTTGTGTGGTGATCGCCGTTCTGCATTTTATTTCTAACTTTTCCCTTTTTTGCCAGACCCTTATCATGGAGATTGAGCGAGAGCGTAGGGAGAGGAGAAGGACGACCCTTTATGAGAAGATGTCGTCCAAATATTATTAGTATCGTGCTAAGCATCGCGCGATGGTCGACATTTATCACCAGGACCCTGAGTTTTAGTTGTTTCGCGAGGGGCTCAAACAGCGGGAGGACCAACTAGAACGTAAGATCGAAGAGTTGAGGGAGTGGGATGAGGAGCTCATGAAGACTGTCGCCCGTAATAGTAAACTCGAGGCTTCCCTTAAGGTGAAGGATGACGAGCTTGAGTTGAGTAGGGGGTGATGGCGGAAAATGCCGACTTGTAGGCAAAGGTGGTCAGTTTGACCGCTGAGTTGAGTACGAAGGCGGTGAAGGTAGAGGGGCTTAAGGGCGAGCTGAGCATCGGTACTGATAAGTTGGCGACAGCTATTTCTGGAAATGCATCTTTGGAGAACGCCCTCCGTGTTTGCAGGTCGGAGCTAGCTGAAGAGAAGGAGGCATTTAGTTGTAAGGTTGCGGGGCTCGAAGGGCGTATCAAAGAACTGGAGGCGGAGCTGTCTGCGTTAAACGGACAAGTGACCTTGCTGAGGGCGAAGGATGCAAATTGATGTTCTCAGCTTTCTACGTCTCGTGCCTCAGCCGATACGGTCGTGCCTCGTCGTTTATATGAGTTGTGGATCCATGCTGAGACTCGGCTTGACGTGTACAAGGCTTTTCACGCCGAAGGGAGGGCAACTGAGGCGGAGCTTCAAGCTGTGCACACCGAAGCTCGTGCAGCTCGTGAGGCATGCAGGTATGACCCCCTTACACCTGACAGGGATGACATCAACTCTGATGACGCGAACCGTCTTGCTTCGGACTCGTGGTACGAAAATGCTTATCCCACCGGGGGTGATGTGTAGTCTTTGTTTGTACTTGCTTTTGTTTTGGGGTTTTTGCAAGGGGCGTACTTGAGCCCGTTTGTAAAGACAAGTGTAAACATTTTGATGCAATGTAAAATATATTTTGTCGATTCGCACTTCTTTGCGATGTTTATGATATCCAGGATATCTGTCGAGCTTATTAAGTCGATTTAGATTTTGGGCGAAGATTCCTCTTTTTTTTTGTTGATGGCCTTGGCCATTGGGATGTTGCTTCGGACTGTCGTCGAAGTAGCATCCCGTCATAGTTCGAACGAGGTCGAACTCATGTTTTTATCGATGTCATTGGCCATTGAGATGTTGCTTCGAACTGTCGTCGAAGTAGGATCCCGTCGTAGCTCGAACGAGGTCGAACTCATGTTTTTGTTGATGGCCTTGGCCATTGGGATGTTGCTTCAAACTGTCGTCGAAGTAGGATCCCGTCGTAGTTCGAACGCGGTCGAACTCATATTTTTGTCGATGGCCTTGGCCGTTGGGATGTTACTTCGAACTGTCGTCGAAGTAGGATCCCGTCGTAGTTCGAATGAGGTCGAACTCATATTTTTGTTGATGGCCTTGGCCCTTGGGATGTTGCTTCGAACTATCGTCGAAGTAGGATCCCGTCGTAGTTCGAACGAGGTCGAACTCATATTTTTATCGATGACCTTAGCCATTGGGATGTTGCTTTGAACTGCCGTCGAAGTAGGATCTCGTCTTAGTTCGAATGAGGTCGAACTCATATTTTTGTTGATGGCCTTGGCCCTTGGGATGTTGCTTCGAACTATCGTCGAAGTAGGATCCCGTCGTAGTTCGAACGAGGTCGAACTCATATTTTTGTCGATGGCCTTGGCTATTTCTTGTTGGAGATTTGATCGTATTCTCGTAGAAAGACACGTCGACTTTATTCATGCAATGGAGGTTTGATTGTATACTTGTAAGGATCACATGACTTTGTACATACAATGGAGATTTGATTATATTCTTGTGAGAATCACATGACTCTGTACATACAATGGAGACTATTATCTATATCCAGTCCCTTCATTACTTCGCTACGGAGACCATGTCGATGGGTCGGGGTAATGAACAACACGTTGAACCTCGAGGCATCTCCCTTGCCGCCTCATTAAAAACCTCCTCGGGAAAACCCGATTGGGACAAAACCCGGGTGAGGGAAAAATAGTACGACTTAGGTTAAGCCTTCTTTTAGAAGTGGACGTATTTGAGATGGGCGACATTCCAGTTGTTTTGGAGTAGTTTTCCCTCCATTGTTTCTAACTGGAATGCTCCTTTGTTTGCTGCGGTTGTGATTTTGTATGGTCCGTCCCAGTTTGTTCCCAGTTTTCCCTCATTGGGATCTTTGGCTGCTTGTGTTTTAGCCTTGAGGACGTAATCTCCGACTTTGAGCGGTCGCACCTTGGCCCTCTTGTTGTAGTACCTTTCTACTTGTTGCTTCTGGGCTACCATTCTTATGTGGGTCATGTCTCTCCGTTCTTCGACTTCATCCAGATTTTGTAGCCTACTTTCGTCGTTGCTTGGTCCGCTCTCGTTGGAGTATCTCAAACTAGGCTCTCCGACCTCGACGGGTATCACAACGTCAATCCCGTAAACCAGTGAATATGGCGTCTCACCTATGCTGGTTTTTGGAGTAGTGCGATATGCCCATAATACTTCCGGTAGTAGTTAAGGCCATAGCCCTTTAGCATCCTCAAGCATCTTTTTCAATATATTCAGTATTACTTTATTGGAGGATTCGACTTGACCATTACCGGCAGGGTGATATGGCGTGGAGGGTATTCGTTTGATGTGCCATTTTTCGAAAAACTCAGTCGTTCTTTTTCCGACGAACTGAGGTCCGTTGTTGCAACTGATTGGGGATGCCAAAGCGGCATATTATGTTTTTCCATATGAATAATAATCTCTAGAAGGGGTGATAGATAAAGAGAGGATAGGTCACGAGGTTTCTTTTTATTCGTAAATAGTAATGTCTCCAGAGTTCGGAATGCCCGTTACAAGATTATTGTCCTCTTTTTATACTAAGAATAAAAAATCTTCTAAACTGTAAAAGGTAAAATACAAGGAATATTCGAAGGAATATTCCTAATGTCCCCTAATGGCCATACATTATTACAAAGGTCGTTTAGTCTTTGGTTTGTCTCGGGGTCGTCTCCCTCAGGACGTCAATTCAAGGAGGCTCCGTCGATCGTCGTACTCGTCGTCGGTCGTGGTCGGTTAAATTTGGACCCATACAGGGTAGCTTTTACTTTTCTTTTTCTTTAATAAAGATAGAAATGGTTTAAGAATAATAACTAGTACTTAAAAGTTTATAGAGAAGGACCTAAGTTTTATCATTTTAATATCTCTTTTAAAAATAATACTACTAAGGTTTGTTTATTATGTTTCAAAATCAAACTTCAAGAGCTACTAGAACAATAACAATAATAAATTCAGTGAAATCCCACAAGTGGAATCTAGGGAGGATAGTGTGTACGCACAACTTACTCCTATTTGATAAGGTAAAGAGTTTCCGAAATACTCTCGGCTCGAGACAAGAGCTACTATACAAATAAAGAAAATTTATAATTTGGTTTTTCAAGATGCACAATTGCCGGGAATTAAAATTGTAGCTTACCTTACACTCTCCATTTCAAGGTATAACGTCTCAAGTTCAACTAAGAAACGTTTGTTAAACTATGTAATATATGTAGGGTGTGACATAATAATCAATAAAGTGGGTAAAAACATAAAAGACCAGAACTTAAATCTTTATAGAAACTAAAGAAATTATTAGGTGACTTCTTTCCATATTTTTAAGTCTTGATGGGCAACGTTACTCGATATTTGTGCCAGTAGGAAGTAGCATATGCTCAACAAAATAGTCAAGTATGTACAAGTTTATCGGATACCACTTATCAGTATTATACAATTTACAAGCATTTGGATCACCAAATGATATAAAGAAAGATGCTCGAGACCTGAGCGGAATTTTTTTAAATAGGGAGCGCTTTTCTCTTTAATGACTTTTACCCGGCGTGAATCCGGATTAATCACAAACCAAAGGAGATATAAGAAAAGATTAAAGTATGTGTAGATAGTAGATACACAGTCTGCAGTGGTCCCATGTTGCCCTCGTGTAGCCTAAAAGGAAGGATAACAGTACTTGTGGCTTGCCACTCATTTCAAAAGCACAAAATTTAAGGCTACCCTTTCCACTTCCAGTCATTTTTAAGCTACTTAGGTCAATTCCTTATCTACATTTGCTAACATGTTATAATAAAGTATTTTCAGGTTATTAATCTGTCATTACCAAAAAGATATAAAGCATTTTGGTCCCAGACATTAGGATGAGGCTTTCATTTTACACCATTCAATCTTAGATAATAAAAACCAGAAGTATATAGCAGTAACCTTTCACTCCATTTTGTGACACTATCTAGAGAGAAAAATGGCTTTGAGAATGTGGGCTTCTTCAACAGCCAATGCATTGAGAGTTTCCACTGCCTCAAGAGCTAATCTTTCCCCTGCTTATTCACTCTCTAGATGCTTTTCGACTGGTAACTTTTTTCAATCCATTGAACTCCTTTTTTCATTCTGAATAGGTAAATATATTTAAATTCTTAATTTGAGTTTCTTGAAAAAAATATTTTCCTTGAGGCGAGGGTCTATCGAGAACAACCTCTCTATTTGTAAATGGTGGGGGTAAGGTCTGCTGTACCCTCCCCACACCTCACTTAGGAATTACAATGGAATGTTATTGTTGCTGTTTAGTTTCTTGAAAATCTTGGTTTTTGCAGTTCTTGATGGGTTGAAGTATGCATCTTCACATGAATGGGTGAAGCATGAGGGCTCAGTGGCAACAGTTGGAATCACTGATCATGCTCAGGTTCTTCTTGTTTTTAGTACTTCCATATAGTTCTCCTTTTTTTTTTTTTTTTTTTTTT